TCCGTGGTGAACGTGGCCAGAACAGCACCTGTGGCAGCGTCTGTATAGACCGCAGTCCTCCCACCCCCCACAAAGGTAACCGTGATCCCCCTGTCCTGGAGGTAACCAGCACCCACCAAGTTCCGAGTGAACGAGGGGATGTGGAGGCCGCGACGGGCTAGGGCGCGGGCCTGGGCAACGGGCTAGGGCGCGGGCCTGGGCGACGGGCTAGGGCGCAGGCCTGGGCGACGGGCTAGGGCGCGGGCCTAGGCGACGGGCTAGGGCGCAGGCCTGGGCGACGGGCTAGGGCGCGGGCCTGGGCGACGGGCTAGGGCGCGGGCCTGGGCGACGTGCTAGGGGCGCGGAGAGCACTGACGCGCGGAGGAGGAGGGCGCTAGGGCGCGGAGGGCGCGGAGGCTAAGGCGCGGAGGGCGCGGAGGGCGTGGAGGGCGCGGAGGGCGCAGAGGGCACGGAGGGCGCGGAGGGCGCGGGGGTGCGCTAGAGAGGGCGCGGGCTAGGAAGTAACAAGGAACTAACCTACTCGTGATACCATCTCAAAGTTCGAATGCAACGGAATGACTGAATTAGGGTTGGGAAGGATACAAATAGGAAACCTACCAAAGTTGTACTCACTAGAGAGTACCTCACTACAGCCTATCACAAGATTAACATTTGACATATGGCCTCATCAAAATCGAGTCCATGGTGCATGTGCGCAGGTCCTTCACAAACTCACGCGTCCTTTAGCAAGTTTATTACATACAAGTAGAACATATGCGTATAAATTTAGGGTTTCGGGGACCTGCTTTTCCTCAGCTATGCAGACGATACCTATATTTTGGGGCCAGCAGCTAGGATTCTGGAGGCTTTTGGGGTGCTGCGGGAGCGGTTGGAGTGGGTGGGGTTGGAGGTGCAGGCGCACAAGTGCCGGTTTTGGGAGCGCGAGGGCAGGGATGTGGAGCAGGCACTGCCATTAGGGATGCAGCGGGTGGAGGAGGGTCTTACTGTGGTGGGCGTGCCTATTGGGGAGGAGGATCGGGAGGTGGTCCGGCTACGGGAGCAGCTTCGACAGTTGTAGGCGCCACTGCCATGGCTCCCCTTGCTCGACCACCCCCAGATGGTTTCACACCTCCTCGCCATTGCAGTTTCAGCACGGCCGATGTACCTCGCCCGGACTATGCCGCCGCGTCCGGAGGTGGTTGAGGCTTTTAGGGATTGGGACAGCTGTTTGGAGGATTGCTTTTGAGCAGCTTTTCCCACCTGGCACTTGGGAGCAGGACCCCGACCGGTCTAGGCGCGCACGCATGCAGCTGCATCTCCCTGTGCGACTCGGAGGGTTCGGGATCCGGGCGGCGGCCTCTTTGAGCCCACTGTCCTATGTTTGTGGGTGGGCGTAGGCCGCGCGTGACATTGCACAGTTAGGGGTGGCGGGCGAGGAGGCGATGTTTGCAGAGTACCTCACCACTTCGACAGGGGCAGAGTTTCTCGACCCGTGGTTTGTCAAGGCTCTTGAGCAGCTGCCAGTGACTATCCGCCAGGAGATACCGGGCTTACCTCTGTATGTAGCGGCCCCTCCCGTTCGGCTTTTCCAGGCGCGGCAGCGGCAGTTAGCTGTAGAGGAGCTCCAGGCACTGCGCCGCTTGGCTCGTGACGATGCTACCTTGGCCCGTTTCACATCCCTTCAGGGCCCGGGGGCGGGTGCATGGGTTTCGGCGGTTCCGGCTCACTCAGATCTCACATTCAGTGCGGCTGAGTGGGGCATTGCTGCTGCTATACGGCTCGGGCTCCCAATTCAGCAGCTGCAGGTGGCGGGGAGGTATGTTTGTGGCACAGCGTATGTTGACCCGGCAGACCCGCATCATGCCCTGAGATGCAAGCACCAGCATGGTCCATCTCGGGTGCATGATGAGGTGAAGTTTGCGGTGGCGAAGATCTCTAAGACGTCGGGGGGGGTGGTGACAATGGAGGATAGTGTGGTGCTGCAGGGGAAGCGGGTTGATGTGGCGGTGCGACGACCAATGGCTTGAGAGGCTCACGCCCTAGAGATCAGCGTCGCGGATCTGCTATCGCTGTCTCCATCTCTGCTAGGACAGTGCGGGCGATCCATAGGTGTGGCGGCAAGAGAGTGGGAGCTTCGCAAAACGAGTGATTACGCGCCTCTGCTTGCACGCAACCGGGGCGTGCAGTTCACCCCTCTGATAGTAGAGACGTGGGGGTGTCTCGGCGGTCGTTTTCGGCGGTGGCTTCGTCAGCAGGGGGATGCGCACGTGGGGCTAGCTGTGTCGCGGGGGGCTTATGCAGTGCACGTCAACCAAAACGAGCAAACACAATATGTGGGGAAATTGAGCGCGTGGATGAGATATGTTGGCAGGGCATATGAGATATGCTGGCTATGCAAGAGATATGCGCGTGGAAAGGTGAGAAAGCAAGAGGCATGGGTGAATGGGAGCAAGACACATACGATGAGATATGTTGGCTGTGCAGATGGAGACATATATTGAGGTGCTTCTCCATATAACTCTTCTCGGTGTGGAGAATACCGTAAAAACTGTGAATTGAAGCATCCGCAATGCTGATTCCGAAACCGCTCCAGAGCTTGCTTTCAGATAAGGCCATTATGAGACTGGATCCATCAAGAAGGGGCGACCAGTCTTTGAACACCTTCACCTGGAAGTGAAAAAGCACTTATTAATGCTTCAAAAAAAGGGAGAAACAGGATCATGGTCCGTAATCTCGTTTTCACTCACAGTGATGTCGTCCTCTGACCCTTCTTCGTACGAAACAATGCAGTCCAGATTCCCTGACCGGTGAGTCGTGCTTCCTGATGTGACGCTTGGAGCAGCCTTTGGCTGCTATTGCTTCATTTCTGGCCTGTGTTCACGTTCTAATAACAAGGACTGGATCACGCCTGCCTTGAACCTTTCTAATCAGCTGAGCTCAAAGGCTTCGTCATCTTGAGCATATGATAACTGTATCACTCCAAGGGCGGCCTCTTTTGGTGCGGATGGTAAGTCATGGATCAACGTCAGAAACTCGTCGCAAAAATTTCCCAAGGTAAGGCTCCTATAAGTCTGAAACGTGTCATGGAAGATGAGGTGGTAATTCACGCCGCAAGTAAAGAACCAGCAAACAAATTTGGAGTATCTGTGATTGAAGTACGGTAACCTGAACACAAACAAGGTGTAATTTCAGTATAAATCATTGCGTTCGCGACTTGTGGCATAACAATGTGTACGTACCATCCCGACGAGCTCGTAGAGTCTCAACGCAGCATCCTCTACGACTCCATGAAAATCGAAAGAAACCTCAAAGCCAGAAAAGTAGGCTCCCTTTGGCTTCCCAATCGAGGGGAGCTGAGACCATGTCGGTTGTCTTTCAGCTGGAATGTCTACAACATACCTCTTGACGTCGGTGTCATGAATTCCTGTGGCAATTACCCACATGAATGTTTCCATTAATTCAAACCAGAAAATGCCCACAACACACTTACCTGTGGTCATCAAAGCAACGGCGTCACCTAAGGGAAAATCGGGAAACTTGATGTTTTAGATTTCTCCCAGGCAACAGATTGGCTACAGCTTTGGAAGGTTCCGAATGGCCAACAGAGTCTTGTAGAGCTCTCACCCCATGCAATATGTAGGAATCCAAGTGCCCCAGCCGTCTGCAGGAAGGAAGTAGACGAAACTAGACGATTGATGAAGGTTGCGGGATTTTTGTCTGCCAGGCTCTCCAGTGTGATTTATCGCAAATGTTCCTTTTGAGATTTCGACATGATCTGAATTGACACCAGCAACTTTGGCTAGCGAGATAGTGATGCATCTGGAATCTGCTTCATCCATAGATGCAGATTGACAGCACCTAATGGCTTCGATGACCAGAGCGTGAATTGCTGCCATTCCGTCTACCCTAGCAGGACAGACCTCCATCTTGCGATTTGACAAAGAAGAAACGGGAGCCAATCAAGCCTAGAAGGAGAGGATGATCGTCGTCAACTAGCTGTGGTATTGCGATGAAGTGCTACCGTATCACCCCGGATTGAAGCGCACCTGCGCTTATAATAAAACATTGATTTATAGGGGGGTGCGCTTATAAATGAGTCACGGGCATAAGCGCATGCGCTTATATAATGACAAATGTAGAAATATATTTTAAGCGCACCAAAATGTGCATCTTAGTCTTGCAATTCCAGTCGAATCGAAATGTTAGCGCGTCATAGATCAGAATCGCGCGATTGTCTGCCAGCGCAAGGGTGGGCGAGGACACGTCATTCCGTAGGGGAATGTGTCACCGGCCCACTGTTGCGAGGCACAGAATCCGGTCGCTCGCAGGGCAGGAGCACGGTCGAGCCCCCCCCCCCCCACGTTCGTGCTGTCAGTCAGCTTCAGCTTCGCGCCCGTTTCGGTTTTTCGCGAGGCAGAACAGAACGGGCGATTTTGTCGGCCGCTTCTCGTGAGGGTTGTAGGGTAGACTCGCTGCAAAGCGGAAAATCGTTACGGAAATTAGAATACAATTATGCATGCGCTTATAATAAGTAAAGTTTTTACAGGGGGTGCGCTTCTAATTGAGGATCGGCCATAAGCGCATTGCTCCAGATATAAGCGCATGCGCTTTTAATAGGCCTGCGGTTATATCCGGGGCGATACGGTATTGGAGTTTTATGGATGTTCGCTTGGGTTCTAGGGCCTGGAGAACCACTCCGAGAGGAATTAACGACGCTTCGACTAGAACGAACGAGTACACGGTGTGCAATTCCTAAACATCAACAGTGCAAAACAAAAATATAAACTATTCGAAAAATAGCTTCGTTCTTTAACGGATTCAGTTGACGATTCTCCTCTCCATCGATCTGGATAAAATATGCGCAAGGGATAAAAAAAACAAAACAAGACAACATATCCGGTTGAGAAATGGGAGTGGCAGTTTGGTGGGGAGTGATATTTGAGGTAAAACAAAACGTGTACAGATCAAGCACTCCACTTACCCCTGGTCTGTACAAAGTGCTGCTTAAATCATCAACGCACCTTTGCATTCCCTGATTGGTCGAAGTGAGCCCGTGACACAACCGCCTGGTTGGAAGAAAACAGCCACCCAACCTCCACACAAAACAATCTTTCTCCCGACAATTCATCCACCTTATGCACATGACTCCAGACTCTCTGAAAGGCCACAGTGGCAGCAGGGGCAGAAAGGGGAGGAGGAAAATGAAACGAGAGAACGAGGAAAGATTTGAGTGGTAGAATAGATGGGGTCCGAGGAAACTGCGGGAAGGAGGATCGGACAAAATAGGGAGATTGGGCAAAGGGGAAGGGATACAGAAATAGAAAGAGAGGGGGTGGGAGGAAGGAGGGAGCGAGGATGAAAAGTAAGGAGCAATCCAGCAAAGCGGGGACAACATCTCATCGCAAGAGTCATACCCTTCCCATAATCCTGAATTCTAATAGCTTCCCTACCTCTGGGAGCAGCATGAGCGTCCCATCCTCCAAAGCAGAGGTCTCCATCTGCCTTGACACTCCGTTTGGATTGGCTCTGTCAACTCCAGAGCAACAAGTGATGACGAGATGGATGGCTGCTGGCACGAGGGTGGGGGGTTTAAGAGGGTTGTGAGGATTGAGAAACGGTGTATGAGGAAGCGACAGAGGCAAGAAAAGGGGAAGTAGGGAAGTGGAAACGAAAAAGAGCAAGACTGTGTTAAGCTCGCATACAAATGATGACGGCTGAGGAGAGCCTGAGGGGAGTGAATCAATCAAATAATTGAGTGAGTGCATCAATGACTGAATGACGTCAGAGTTACCATCACTAGCAACAAGAGATCGTGGCGTTTGAGTTGAACCTTACAGCTGTGGGCACTTGAGCTTCTCTCGCCGTCACCTCCCACCGCCCCTCAATCTCCTTCACCCTGCCTTCCCTCACTGCCTCACTCCCCTCCCCCTCCTCAACCATCTCCGAACTGAACAGTGCTGCTCCATCCGCCAGCTCAGCGCCGCCTGAAAACGGCTCCACCCACTTCTCCCTGTGCACTGCCAGGCTGGCAAGCCGAGGCACCGCTACAGCTCCTGCTCCTCTCCCTTCGTTTCCTCCTCCCTTTCCTCCTTCTCTTCCCCCTCCTCTTCCTCCTGCTGCTGCATTCACTGGTGTGAATTGCTGCACAACACGCACTCTCACTCTTCCCTTCCCACTCGCAGCTTCCACCCCTTCCATCGCCAAGCAATGCTCCACCTGAAACGGCCCTGCTGCCATGCAGCCGATCCCCTCGTTTGAATCACCCTCGTTAGAGTCACGGGTTGTGGAGTCAGTGCCACGTGGCACCCACTGAGTGGCCCGCATGGCGTCCACGCTGGCAGGCGCGGGCATGGTGGAGGACTGGCCAGCTCGGACGAGCAGATAGGAACCATCCTCCGTGAATGCAAACAAGTCGCCAGCAGCAGCACCACCACCAGCAGCAGCAGTCCAGCAGCTTGCAGCACTGCTGGAACTTCAATAACCATTATCAGGACCAGCGGAGCCGTCACCAGCTGCACCAGTCACTAGCCTCAGAGCCGTCCGTTCCACGCTGTATTTAGGCGGAGACGCCGCCTCACACCCCGCAGCAGGCGCGTACCTCACGAATGAGGAGTGAATCTCGGCATTCCCAAGGTTCTCCTCCACACTTGCCGTCACGCCACGGCCAAGGGACTCCCCGCGAGTTACGCCGGACGTCTGGGACTGCCACGCGTATTGGACCAGCCCCCAGTCGCGGAACGCTACGGGAACGACGGATTGCGGCAACTCCAAGGGTTCGCCGAAGCGCGAGAAGTCGACGGAGTACCCCGCCCACTCGCCGGAAAACGCGGCGGAGAATGCGGGCCACGCGGAAACGGCTGGCGGGGTTTGAGCGTGTGCGTCGGGTGCGGTGAGCTCAGTCACGGGTGAGATTGGAGCGCTTTCTTGCGTTCCGTTCGCTTGTGCTGCTGCTGACGCGTGGATGGAACGGGAAGCGCGCTGACTGTGCTGGCTCTTAATCCGTGCAACGAAAGGTGAGTGTAAGGCGTTGCTAAAACGGTCCAGCTCGTTGATAGGACCCGGAAGCGCTTGCCGGCATGAGCGGCGCAGTGTGAAGGTTCGCGGCGCGGTAGCACGAATCTTAAGCTGGTTCGCTGGGGTTGCGCGACGGATTTCGGGTTCTTTCACTGGCGGTACATGAAGGCAATGGGACGACAAACCCGACCCTCGCGGCACTCGCCGGACGCAGGACTGCATCGCGGCTTGCCTTACATTTCAACGTCTCTCAAGATGGACGTAAGCGACATAAGAGATAAGGGGATGCGAGCTAACTAGGGCAGCGAAGCTAATCGATTCTGCACTGCGCGTACATGGTCGTGGTGAGAAGACGTAGACTAGGGTGAAATTTGCGACTTCTCTATTGGATTCATCGCTTGTCAGCACACATCCTGAGTTTGTACAATCTAGCTTCATTAGAAGCTACAAAGCAAGGGTCAAACAGCAAGGACTTGCTGCCATGTTGCAGAAATATTGAAAAAGGTAACTTTTAAGATTGCTGAAGTGCGAGTCACTCTAAAGTTGCGTAAAAGTTGCAATTCCGCAACAGGGTTTAGGGTTTAGGGTTTAGGGATACTCACCGCATACAATTCCGCAACATCCCGGACACCTTCCAGTGACCGCATTGCAACCGTTGCGTTGCTTCCACTCACCCGAAATATTACCAATATGTTGCGGACACCACGAGTTACAACCCAACGCCCACGTGGCAACCGAAACCGTACGCGCGTCAACTCGCGTTCGGGTGTACGTCAAACTGTACACTAATCAAGTTCCCACAGATGTCGCTTCCCTACAAGCAGCACCTAAAAATACTAGAAGCAAGCCCAAAAGTCAAGCCTTGTTGCGTATGCAAGCTCGGCTAAATCTGCCTAATGATAATCCTCTCCCTGTACATATTTATTTCTCGTATCAGCATTCGCCTTCTTTCGAAGTCCGCACAATCTTTGCATTTACAGCCATCACATTCCACATGCTTTTGCTGCGGTTGCTGCTGCTCTTCCTGCTGCTGCTGCTGCTGCTTCCACCCAGAGCTATTCAAGCTCAACTCACACAGCCGTGTGTAGATTCAGCTCTTTTTACTCCAGGGATACCGTGGGCAGGCGAGGCATCTGAAGAATGTACTCCGTGCCTGATTTAGACGCGCTGGCAGCGTGCTGCCAAGCCAGGACCCTCACATGCAGGTAAGTTGAGGTCAGGGATGACGACCCGGGTACAAGGTGGCTTCTCAAAGCTCGCCCGTTCCTCCAATGGCTTGCATTCACATTGCTCCACCCACACGGCCCTGTAGTCACTGCTAGCTTCTGCTGAGCAGTCTGGTGCAGCATCGGATGGAGGATGCTTGTCAGAGAGGACAGTTATTCCCTGGCTCTCCTTGCTCCGGACGTAGTCGGCCCAACTTAGTCTCATGCTGCGTTCTTCAAGCAACATAGGACCTCCTTGCCGCTGCGTGATTGCTGTGTCCGCCACTTCAACAGCGTTTCTTGCTGCCTTGTAGCTGGATGCTGCAGGCATGGTCGCCATGGGTTCTGCTGCTGCTGCAGGAGTTGAAGCACAGGCCCTGAAAATCCTACGCCGACGTCGAGCGTTGCTGCAGGCAGCACCATCACTGTGGGAGTCACCATGCTTGTCACCGCGACCCCGTTTCATCCTTGAGACTCTTGACACTGCGGCGTGCTCTCTCACCAACTCCTTCGCCCAGGGACTGCGCGGCGCCATCATGTCATTATGATAATCTCAATAAGCCCGACCTTAGAGCTCGGAACTTTGGGGAAGCCGCGTACTGGGACTCTCAGCGTACAATGAAGAGTTTAGGGCAATCCGAAGTCGTGACGCCAGGGCTGGGGGGGGAACTGACACTACAGTGGGAGTGGGTGGGAGGAAGCGCGGCGCTGGTGAATAGTGGGCGCTCGGTAGGAATGCTAATGGAAGAACGACTGGGGTAGTAAGTCGTTTTTCAACACCCATTTCAGCCGACGTATGAGCTGAAGACCGACCCGCCACTGCTGAAGACCGACCCGCCACTATTCGATAAGCTATACCTTTCGTTAACGCCATCTGATTATATTTTATGCTGGCAGATTTTGTCCGTGATGCGCCGTCCGTTGGGAGCTCATAAAAAGGTGAGGCCACGTAACCTCGTGATGTCACATGCTCATTTCAGCTACCCGGAAAAGGCAAGGGCCAAAAAAGTCGCGAAAAAAATAGTATTGAGGTGATACGGAGACACATGCCAGCCGAGACACATGACCACGGGCCACGTGATCTGCTCCCCTTATCAGCAGCATTCGTAGGAACAAGCGGAGGGGATAGCTTTGGTGGGAGATTGTGCTAGCACGCGCGCTCGAACCGTCGATTCGTAATGAGAACTTCATCGTGTAGATCAGTGATCGTATACTACCTCTATAGCTAGCTGATCGTACATGCCAAACAGAAAGCACCTTAGACAGTTTCTAAACCCTCAGAAAAAGGCGGTGAACATGACGCGTGGTTCGAAGCACGTGGGTTTCAACTGAAACCTTCAGTTCGGTGGATATGAACAGTCGCCGCAAATCTAGCCAGATCAGAGAGTTTCGGCGAAGGTTATCACACTCACAAGACTACGTCACAATGGCATTGTTCTCTTGCCGCACAAGCAAACAGAGCCCTCCGCACAAGCCCTGCGGGAAGCATGTTCCTCGAAGGGTCAACACTCCCGCGGTATCGGCGAAAATGCTGCTAACGACAAAGCAGGTTTGCAATCAGTTCTGCTTTTTTTTCGTTGACCATGCCCAGGCTGCCCAGGATGCTCAAAACGTTTCATCCCAACCATTCACAAACCTTCGGCCTTTGATATATTTTTGTGGTGAGTAAATTCATCGCTAAATGTCCCAAAAACGGGCGTTCAGATCTGCCCGTTTTTGCTTGTGCGTCCCCTTATTCAACCTCGGATGGGCGGATAGGGTTCGCACGGGCGGTGCCTCCCGTTTGCCCGTAATTGAAGTTTCGAAGTAAGGTATGAGCGGACTAGTTATGATGCGTTCTGTTACCCATGAGCGCACAAGAAAAACTACCAGGTTCGGTACACAATAACGAGTTGGGAGGCTCGACGTGGGCTTTAAGCCTTGTCACGCGCGTTCCTAGAATATTCGTCAGGGAGGCCAAGCACCCCCAATGCGCCCACAGAACGATACCAATGCAGTGTGGGAGAGAAAACTCAGAGCGTGTCACCTCGGGCTCGAATCCCCAAATTCGAGCAGGCGTATCGTTTCCACTGTACAAACACTGTCCCATGTAGTTCCGGAAACAAATTCGAACAGAATAACAAATGTGACAGCTTGTTCTCGAGGTGACGCCCCCCTTGTTCGAACAAGCGCCTTGTTCGAATATGCGACGTCGCACAAAATCGGGCGACGGAGTGAGGCGTCGAATCCACCGTTTGACGGTTCGCCAGCCTCTACGAACAAGCCAAAACGCTTTCGCGTTCAATGCGACACTCGCAAGCCAAAAACACATTCGTGGGCGACGCGACGCATGGCTGACCAATCAAATGTGCCGTCCCTGCGGAATTTCTGTCACCAAGGTCTTGGCGTTCGAACAACTCTGTTCACACGTGCAGCGTGAATCGCTACCCGCCCGATGTGACAGCGTTGTTCGGATGGGCGACAATTCCGTCATGCGACGTCGTAGAAGCCCATGCGAGTTGTGGCGAAACAAGTAAGATTTCACTTGTTCGAACAAGAGTGTTGTTCGAACAGCGAGGTGACAAGCCCTTGATACGGAATCTGGAATCAGGGGCTGTCGCTATCAGGGAATTTTCCCTACTGGCCCTTGAATTCCATGGCAAGGTTCTCCATGAACCCTGAAATTGATGGGTTGCAAAATCTCTAGCCCTGAACCTTTTCAGGGCTGATTTCTGGCTGATTCCTGACTTGTTAAGGAGAAACTTTTGGCCCTTCCCTGAAATGAAGGGGGGATTTCAGGCGAACCCTGGAACAAGAAACAACTCAATACCCCTTCCTTCCCCCCCCCCCCCCCACCCCACCCCCCCCTCAATCAACCTGACCTATCACCCCATTTCAAGTTTGTGGTTGGGCCGGAACTCGAACCCAACCTTGACGGGCTGCTTGTGCCAATCATAGATACTGTGGGCCAAAACTCCAACTCCCTTGCGACGACACAGAGAAAGCAGCATATTATGAGTCTAAGCTCCATGCTCTAAGCTCTAAGTGATAACTCAACTGCTCTTGAATGCAGGGTTTTTTTTTTCTTCTTCTTCTTCTTTTTTTGAGATGCGTATACATAACGTGAATGCAAAGTTATCGGTGGTCGTAACT